TAATAACCTCATCAAAATGGCAATGAGTGTTTTGATAAAGTAGGATTTCTTTGAAACATGAAATGAATAGTGTCTCAAACTGCATTCTCCATTAGCACATATTCATTTCCAGCTGTTTCTATATAAACTTGTTGCTAGCTTAATAAAATTAATGATATTTGGATTCCTTTTCTTAGATACCATATTTGCAGATAGGATAAAAGAAGTATGTGTTTGAAAAATAATGGCCAGAATAAATGAAATACCTTCAACAATGCAGTTTAGTAGCTTATTTGAAAAATATTATTTTTATGATAAGAGTGTGGTAGGCCAAGGATACACATAAACTAATCCAAAGTATAGACAAATAAATAAATAACTATATATATACGTCAATAAATATTTAAAAAGGTTTATATTTCCAGTCCTTCCCAGTCTTAGATGAAAGAAATTTCGTTATAATCAATAAAAAATGTTAAATAATTATGGTAGCCCTAAATAGCAGAGCTTCTTTTAAAGTGTAAAGTAGATGTTTTTCAAGCACAGAGAATTACTCCAAATTAATTTTAATACGAAGAATATTTTTAAAAGTAAAGCTGTTTTCATAAATTCAACCTATGCTGACTCGAAGCAGCATCAGCAAATTGAGTTTATCTTTTGCAGCTTAATAGTATGTCTACGTTTTTTTATCTTTTTCCCCATTTACCACACAGCGATGTTATTTTAGCTATTTCAAGACCCCTCACATCATGAACCAAGTATCAAAAAACGACCGATAGATGGTAATTTAGACTGAAAATAGGCATTAAATGGAAATAACATCATCTGCAGCACAAGCGTCCAGGGCCCACCTCGTGTAAAGGTACCAAGACCTCCTGACTGCATCGTTCCTGAAACGGCCGAGTTATGACAGAAACACTCATCCTCAGAGAGGCGACAACCCGATCTGAATAAATCCGCCTGTCCAGCTGGAGTTTGACCAATTGCTTGACATATGGTCGCATGGCAACTCGATCCACAACAGCCCACGGGCAGTGGACCAGCACGGTAACCACTGGTCGGAGATGCGAAAGTAGCTGCCTCGCCGTCCACGCCGCGGTGCACATCATCGGCTAGACAGGAGTTTTGTCTATTGGAGCCGAGAACTGATGAGGCAAAGTATTTTATACCAGCTCGCGACTGATGCCGCAAGGGATACTGATGATGAGAATTCTGCCTGCCAGAACTCATGCTGGAAAGAGCTGCATTGGCTACACTGGCGGCACGACGCATGAGTTTAGCCTGAGAAAAGGCTGGGCGCTGTTCCGAAGGTGAATAAGTATTTACCCAAAGAATGCGTGAACCATGCTTAATGGCTAGCTGAAAATGTAAAAATAATAAAGATAGAAAGGCAAACATTATACGATTAATAATGAATAATTATTACTATTAGTCATAGTAACTACAAAACGAAATGGCTACAATATTTAAGATTTAGATATTAGGAACAATATTGTAATTAGGCTTAATAAAAATGGGAAAGCATAACAAAGTAGAGACAGATATACCAATAACTAATGGTGAATGAGAAAACATATGAAAAATAATATTCTAAGCATAATGCTTTAAAAAATCTTTGAAAAAAGGACAGAGGCTAAACAATTATAGTATGTCGTAACACTAGGAAGCGCAAACACATTTTTGAGGGAAATATGATTTACACAAGGTTTAATACAAAGAAAAAGGAATTGGGCAAAAAGGTTAACATGCACTTTTGTAATTTAAGGTAAAATAAGCCGCTTAAAATATATATCATTTTTGTGGTTACATCAAATATATTTACGGACGTTAAAGGAATATTGAACTATTTAAAATCATAAGCTAACCTTCTCTCTTTTAATATGATATTATATAAAAAAGTATAATATAAAGTATATTTATAAGTTATGTGTGAGATGTAAAAACTTATTAGATATGACCAAGAGAAAAAAGAATAGAAAATTAAATTTTATTTAAGACATGCTTTCTCTTGATTTTTCGAGAGAAAACCTAAGATCCGTAGTCAGAAAAATAAACCATATAATAATTAGCAATATCTCGCTTAATGAATTATAATTGAAATGATAACCACCCTTTAAAGGTTTAAATTGTATATATTGTTATTATTATTAAAATAAAATAGAAATAACATGAATTAATTTTGTAAACTATCATTTATTGCATATTGTTACCCAAGGAAGTAAACAATTAAGATACTTTAATAAAAAGGGAATGCTATTATTTATATATATATTTGAAGGTAAAATTCTTGAATAAAATAGCGCAAAACCTAAAGGATAAACCCATCTTTATATCTCTATATAAAATTTGATTTATTAAGAATATAGTAGCAAGCTCATTTGGATTTACATTACCTTTACCTGTATCTAATATGTTTTATGGTCAGTGAATTTAGGTAGATGGCCATTATACATTTTTATCCTACATATGTACATATTTAGACACACATGATAATTTTATTACACTGCTATTAGTTAATTGGTAATGTGATATATTATATTGAAAGAAAGTATTTATTACTTTTTAGAATTTAGATCTAGTGGCGTTTACAGAAATCCTTAATGGCTTGTTTACTATTCTGTTATTTATGCTTGGAGTACACATGGTGATGTGGGAAATAGCATTATTAGCAGAGAATTAGCTGTATATTTGCTACCAAACATCAACAAGAATGGAAATAAGTTGATACCAAACAAATAAATATGAAAGATTTGACCTTGTATTTATACTATTAGGTTGAATTCAAAATTAAATTTTAAAATTATTAAAGACTGTTTGCTTGCATCAAATCAACAATATTATTTTACCTTATAACTTAGGATGCCACCTAATTTAATTGTTATGAATGTCCAATTATGTCATAAGACCTTATTCACCATGAAAATGAAGCTTTTCAATTATAATTTTTTCGCGAATCAATTTATTAACTTAGCTAATTACTTGCTGATTGAAGTTGATGTCATTTACAGACTTCCAAGATATACGATGTTTTGGCTATTTTTTTGTGTAACTCATCATCCCCTATAATGCTATTCATCTTCCAGTAGTTTAGCTTCCCATCAACTACAACAC